ACACACACACACACACACACACACACACACACACACACACACAAAGCTTCAAATGCTCAGATTGGTATTTGTGGTTTATATTATTTCATGATTAATATCATTTTAGGATTGTCTCTACATGAATAAAGGGACAATGGAAACTTGCCCTCATACTCAATATTAATCATTACTTTATGTATTTTAATTATGATTTCTAGAAAAGACAAAAGAAGATGGGTTAAAAATGAAAATTTCTTGAACAGTAAGTACAACTTTTTGCAGCAACATCTATATAATCAGAAGGGAGTGAATGTTAACATCATTTGGCTATAATAGCTGATATGTACCACAGTTGAAGAGTAAAATATCAAAAAATGTAGTTTGTTACCATGGCAACCCTGTGTGCTGTTGCCCATGTGATGTTTTTATTTCCTTTAAATGAAAATCTTTTTGTGAAATGCAACAAAGCTTAGATTGTTGCTCCTACATTTACTTTACCACTTCATTAATTATAACATATTTTAGAACATTCTAACAACCCAGAGTTTATGAGACATTTCCCCTCCTGGGTTGTATGTGACCAGGACTAGGGATTAGAGATATTGACGAAAGACCATATTAAAGGATTCTCTAGGAAAAGAGGTAAAATGGAGAGACATATTCATGTTATATTTTAAACTTGACATCAGGCTGACATTAATATAAAAACATTGCACTTATCTTCCCCAAATGCCTAAATTTTAAAACAAACACAGCTGCTACAATTTCAGTGTATATGTGTCTGCATTTTGATAAGAATCGAATGTTCTGTGTATTTGCCATATGTTTTCATTTTAACTCTTATTTCCTAGAGTATTTTACGTTTTCATTTTTCAATGAGAAATACTTGTATTTTCAGCAAAAATATTTGTATTTATTTGAAATCTGTTTCTACTGAAAGAACAGCTAGAAGAACTGATATTTGGGAGAAAGGTTAGAGATTCAGAGGGACCTCTAGAAAATGCTGGATAAATATGATTTGGGAGAGGTGGGTGGTTATGAGGGATTCTAGAGAAAGAAGGTGAATGCATTCATTCATTTATTCAATAAATACTTGTTGAGTTATGTCAGATCTTGTTCTCTACAATGAACAGTGAAACATTCCTCCCCTCCTAGGGTATATGTTACAGGGGTGGATACCAGGAAAAGAATGTCTCTCCCACATGAAGTCCCCTGTATGTTTTAGAAAGCACCAATTCAAATTATGCAACAAGAAACATGCTTAGACACCAATATGAGAATCCTTTCTATTGGCTATGTTTTAATATTTTGTGTTAAGGATACTTTCTGATCCTTCTTTTGGTTTGATAGAGCTCTTATACATGTGCGCTACAGTGTCTTCTGTGGCCCTGTTTTCACAAAGCAGTGGAACTCCTACTTCTTTCTTTTCTTTCTTTCTTTTCTTTTTTCTTTTTTTTTTTGTTGGTCATGGGCTTGAACTCTGGGCCCGGACATTGTCCCTGAGCTCTTCAGCTCAAGGTGAGCTCTCTACCACTTGAGCCACAGCACCTCTTCTGGTTTTCTGGTGGTTTATTGGAGGTAAGAGTCTCATGGACTTTACTGCCTGGGCTGGCTTTGAACAGTGATCCTCAGATCTCAACCTCCTTAGTAGCTAGGATTATAGATGTGAGCAACCAGCACCTGGTTGCTCCTAATTCTTAGTCTCTCCCTTTTAGGGCATTTTATTAGTGTGTTAGCCAAGTGAAAAATTTTTATAGTTTTATTGAGAAAGAGATAACCCATTTTGTGTTTAGCATAATATACTGGTGAGTAATTAGGGGGGGTATATAGAAATTTTGAAAAAAGTAATTATAGTAGGAGAATCTAGTTGGCTCTAGAAGCCTCCAGGCCCTGCCTACTTTAAAATACTCTCCCCGCTTCTGGTCAGCATGCTAATGCCCTAGCTCCCCTGTATAGAAATGGCATGCTAGGAAGAGGTTGTCCTGATGCCTAGAACTACTGTTGCCTGACTGTGACTGCAGAAGACAAGTTCCTTCTCGGAGCCTCAGTTTCTTCACCTGTAAAAAGTAATTTCAGTGCCAATCTGTTTTGAGGATGTTGAAGGAGGATTTAAGTGAAATTATGTGTGCAACATGCTAAGGATTAATTTTAATTCTCTCCTCCTAAAAGGCAAAATCATTAGGTAAAAGCATTGCCTTGGAAATGACTCTTGGAAAAACAGAATTTCCATCATCTGGGGAGAATATATTGGTCCAGGAAACTTAAAACATTTGTATGAATTAGTGTAATTACTAATAACCTTTTGTAAATAGCTGGTCTGGAAACAAGTTTTTGATTTGAGAAAGGATGTTGGGAAAGTATGAGGAATTGATTCTTTTTTTTTCTATTTTGATAAATATTATGTGACCAGAAGCACAGAGGCCTAGTACTTTTGTGTTCCTCCCCTAAAATTATCATCTGGAATGGATTCTTGTGGGAGGCATATTATAATTATGTTCTCCAAGAGCCACTGGAGTCACAATAGTAGACACGACAATAAAAATTGTCTAAACAGGAAGTGGCACTGTGGCTCAAGTGATAGAGCACTAGCCTTGAGCTGAAGAGCTGAGGGACATTGTCCAGGCCCAGAGTTCAAGCCCCATGACCAACAACAACAATAACAAATTGTCTAAACAAAGTAATATTTACTTCTGTAGCAAAAAAGCTGGCAAGCAAGCACAAAGAGCCAGTGGACTGCTCCCCTATTTATCCCTAATGCAGCAGGCCCTCCCTCCTCTGCTCAGATTGAACGAGCTCAGGTTCACAGATCTGCTCATGATTGGCTAGTTTGAATAGGGTAAAACAGATTTATATAAGATGACTTTGAAATAAGATTAACAGTCCACAAGTAATCTCAAAATAGACCCCCACCCTCTGCTACTTTTTGAATAATATGAGGTGTAGCTTAATTCCATCTTGTAAAGAAACCAGGTTAAGACAAAAACCTTATATTTCAAAAATACTTCCTTATGCCAGAGCAGTTCCTCTTTTCTTAACAAGAGCCAAGCCACCAGGCCAAAGCAGGAACTTTTAAGCAATTCACTTTGATAGAATCGACAGGCAGTTTTTCTCACAGGCAGAACAAGGAGACTTGAACAGAATGAAGTGCAGGAGGCCAGGGGAGAGGCAAACTGAGGGCATCCGAGGTGGGAATCCTGGAAACAAACTCATTTCCTTCACTTTGGCCTGTACTTGTCTGCCTCTGTTTGTTTGTAGCTTTCGCTGGTTTCCACCTCATTGCTGAAGATCCTGATTATGAAGAAAAGTCTGCAAGTCACAACTGACCTGAGGAACACACCCACTGGACACCAAAACTGGCTTGGATGTTCTTGATAAGTTATCTGAATAATAATTTTTTAAAAACCCAACTGAAGAGGTAACAATTTAAACACCTTACTATCTAATTTGCAGTATTTGCCTTACTTAGATTTTTGTTTTGTTTTGTTTTGATTTTTTGTTTTGTTTTTGTCCTTTGTGGGGCCTGACCTCTGAGCTGTTCCTCAGCTCTTCAACTCAAGGCTAGTGCTCTACCATTTGAGCCACAGCACCACTTCCAGTTTTCTGGTGGTTTAATTGAGGATAAGAGTCTCACAGACTTTCCTGCCCAGGCTGCCTTTGAACGGTGATCCTCAGATCTCAGCCTCCTTAGTAGCTAGGATTATAGGCATGAACAACCAGTGCCTGGCTTTACTTAGTTTTATTGAAGAAAATAAGGCACAGAAAACTCAAGTAGCTTATTTTTAAAATTACATCAGGATTGTAAGGGTAGACCCTAAATGCAAATGTTGATAGAATTCTGAAATCTGAAAGGCTCAGAAAACCAAAAGTTGTTTTTGTTTTGTTTTTCCAGTGGTAAAATGGACAATAACATTTATAATCTTATGAACATATTGATAATGTCAGGCCATCTTCACCCATCCCCAGAACTCTTCATTTTGTGAAACTATGGCTCTGTACCCAGTAAACAATAATTCCCCATTCTTTTTTTGGTTGGCTGTGGGGCTTGAACTCTGGACTTGGGCACTGTCCTTGGGCTCTTTAGCTAAAGGCGAGCATTCTACCGCTTAAGCCACAGCACCACTTTTGGTTTTCTAGTGGTTTATTGGAGATAAGAGTCTCATGGACTTTACTGCCCAGGCTGGCTTTGAATGGCGATCCTCAGATCTCAACCTCCTGAGTTGCTAGGATTACAGGCGTGAGCCACTGGTGCCCCGCTTAATTCCCCATTCTTTACCCTCCTGATCTTTGGCAACCACTGGTTTGTTTTTAAAGTAACTTTGGAACTAAAATTAATTTGTCAGCAAAAACTGACCAAAACAGATAGATTAGTTTTACTCTTTATTTGTCTCATTTGATATGTGTTTAATTCATTTCGCTGCAGAAATGTATTTCATTACTAGGGGCTGCCACTACCCCCTACCCCATTTGGAATATAAGGTAATGTGTGCCCTTGAGCTCTATTATTTCAAATAAATATTTTCTGAGTTCTGTACCATCTGACCTTCAAGATTCTGCTTAAGGACTAAGGGCCTGATCATGTATTAGAGGCCACTATTATTATTTTACTATTTTGATTGTACTTTAGCTTAGTTGTACTTGAAATACAAAAATTGAGAAACGTAAATTAAGGATGATTGTCTACTTATTGTTCAGCATGTATTTCCTTCATCCTTTGTTTTCAGAAAGAGTATTCCAAGCTCTTATCCTATGGGGCTCCTTCTTATCTTTTACTAGCAGCAACTCTGTAGGCCTAGGCGAAGGGATGTGTATTTGTTTCTTTTTGAAGTTGTATTAGGGATTGAACCCAGGGCATTGTACCTGCTCTGCTATAGCACTACATTATGCTGAAACTTTAGTGTCCATTTCTTTTTTTTTCCTTCCTTCCTTCCTTTCTTTCCTTCCTTCCTTCCTCCCCTTCTTTCCTTTCTTTCTTTCTTTCTTCTTTCTCTCTTTCTCTTTCTTTCTTTTTTTCCTCTTTCTTTTTTCCTCTCTTTCTTTCTTTTTTCTTTCCTTCTTTCTTTCTGCCAGTACCAGAACTTGAACTCAGGTTCTGGTGCTTTCACTTGGTGTTTTATGTCAAGGCTGGCACTCTACCACTTGAACCACGACTCTATGCCTGCCTTTTTGCTGGCTAATTGTAGGTAGGAGTCTTGTGGACTTTTCTTCTGTCCCAGCTGGTGTCTTGGAACCACAATTTTCAGATCTCAGCCTCCTGAGCAGTGGGACTTACAAGCATGAGTCACCAGTGCTAAACATATGTATTTTTAAACGGACTTTGAGCTCATCTTGCAAGTTAGAGCCCTTTCCAGCTCCGGATTTTCCAATTGCTCAGGTTTCTGGACTACGGCCTGGTAAATTGTGTTTCTTGGCTCTATAATTTAAGAGTCTTTGAAGAGTAGAAACGCTTTGCAATTTCATCATTTCTTAGCAGTGCTAAGAATCAAAGTATACATCTCTACCTGGGAGGCTTTTGTGGCTCATTCTTCCCTTCCTTACTTCTCCATCCCAGAGGCTGGACCCAAGAGGAATGAAGAAATATGAGGGTAGCGTCTCCCTATTTGGAGGAGGGGCTCCTTCCTAGAGCTGATTGTAGACTCTGTATTTTGTTTTAAGAGAAAATCACTCTTTCCTTCCACAATTTGTTTTCATAATTTTCAAGCTTTAGGTGTCAGAAGCAAAATTTATTTCACAGTAATTATTGTACCTAAAGTCACCATATATCCTTAATTTTCTAGGATGGATATTTTGATCATTGTTTCTTTTGAAACTAGCAAACAAATCATCCTGTTGCGAAATACTGGAGAGTCGTGGCAGGGATCAGCCATTGGTTCTCACAGGCAGGAGCCTAGAACTTAGTTCTCTATAAATGAGTCTAGTAGATACTGACATTTTACTGGAGATTAGCAACAGTTCCCAGAGAAGCTGCCTCTTTTCGTGGGTACCTGAGCGTTAGCGCTATGACACTGCGCATAAACACATCTGAACTTTAAAAAGTGAGTTTTCTGGGGGGGGGGGGGGGGGGGGAGGAGGGAGGAGAAGAAAAAGTAATAGAGACAACATGATTTCTAAGACTGTTTCTGGCAGACAGGATTAAAGAAAAGTAGAGATTCAGGCCTGGATGGTCAGTTTCGGCCCTCGGGGGCACTCACCAGATGTTGGCGCACATACACTGGGGCCAACAGTGGTCTTCAGTTTTACTACAGAAGACGCGGCGCAGATCTTTAATCATCAAAGAAATCATTTTACTTTTAGGGTCTGGGCCAGTCCGAGGTGAGGTGGCAAAGTGTTACAAAATTTCAGCGTGTATTGTAATCTGGATGTATTTTAGCTCCACGGTGGCGGAAAGGCAAATGTGCAGCGTCCCACCGGACAGACCCCCCCCCCACGCCCCCAGCCCTACCCTCGGGGCGAAGGACACGGGGCGGGGGGACGGCGGGAGGGAGAGCCGGGGGCTGCGCCACCCACGTTTTCCGGGCTGTCAGCCTCCCCGCGTCCCCAGCCTCCCAGGTAGGGACGCCCCCTCCCACGCAGCGCGGTTCCGGCGGGTGGGAAGGAGGGGCTGGGCTCTGAGCGCCGCCCCTCCATCTATCACATGGCCGGAGAGTCACAAAAACAACAGCTTTGGCCAAGACCGTGACTTCTGGAAAGAGAACCCAGGCCCTGGCAGTCAGCCCCCTCCCCATGGAGGACAGTTTTCTTGAATCCTTCGGGAGGCTGAGCCTCCAACAGCAGCAGCAGCAGCAGCAGCAACAGCAGCAGCAGCAGCAGCCTGCTCGGCCGCCCCCACGGGGGACACCTCCGCGTCGCCACAGCTTTAGGAAACATCTCTACCTCCTGCGCGGCCTCCCGGGCTCGGGGAAAACCACACTGGCCAGGTAATGACAGCGGCCTGGGCGCCGGCGCGCGACTCGGGGCCACGGAG